AGACCGGCCACTCACTGGCTGAGCAAGGTGCGGGAGCAACGCCGAGGGTTGCGATCCCGTTGCCGGTCCCGGTCCGGTACGGGCACAACACTGAGGGTTGCAATCCGTTGCCGGTCACGAAAAAAGACAAAAAGGAAAAAAAAATATCTTTTATTATTTTTATTAATTTATTCTAAAAGATAGCTGTTTCTTCATAGCTATAATAGTAACTGTATTAGATGTTTATAACATATAGATAAATGAAACAAATGACAGTAATGTCAAAAGGGATGGGAGGAAGAAATTGGGAATACATTGTTATAATGTACCTGCACTATATGTGAAGTGTTTTGGTATTATTTGATGGTAGATGTACATTATTTTTAAATGTAGATTGTAAACCCTTGGACAAACCACTAAAAAGTTTTAAAAAGAAATATCAATGTTATGCCAATAAAGAAAATAAAATGAACTTATTTAAAATGCTTAATTTAAACCAGAGAAGGCAGAGAAAGAGGGAATAAAAGAAACTGAAAGCAAAGGAAACAAATAGAAAAAAATAAAAAAGATGCTAGATTTTAATCCAAGTTTACCAATAAGCACTTTAAATGTGAATGATCTAAATATATCACCTAAAAGACACAGATTGTCAGGTCAGATTTAAAAAGAAAAACAAGACCCAACTACATGCAGACTACAAGAAATGTACTTTAAGTATAAAGGAGCAGATAGCTTAAAAGTAAAAGGTTGGAGAAAGATATGACAGGCTAATAGTAATTAAAGTAAAGCTATTATAGCTGTATTAATTTCAGACAAAGCAGACTTCAAAATAAGGAAGATCATTAGGCATAGACAGAAATTATGCAATGATGAAGGGACAAATTTTACAATAGGACATAATCCTAAACATTTATGCACCTACCAACAAAGCATGGGAATACATGCAGAAAAAACTGAAAAGAGAAATAGACATATCCACTATTAAAGTTGGAGACTTCAGCACTCCTCTGCTGGTAATTGATAGATCAAGCTGGCAGAAAATCAGTGAGAATGACCTAAACAGTGCACAGGGAAGGATGTCCTCTCTCACAACTTCTATTTGACATTGTATTGGAAGTCCTTCCTAGTTCAATGAGACAAGAAAAAGAAATAGTAAGAGATATCAACAAAATGGCAGAATAGAAACTCTCAGACTCCGATCCTCCCAGCCCCCCAAAAAGTTCAGCTAGCAACTATCCACAGGCCAGAATATCCTTTTAAAACTTCAATACTTAGAAACAAGCCTGAGACATCCACATTGTTTACAGAACTGAATGAAATCTGAATTAGAAGGGTAAGAGGAATGATCTTGCTTCAAACGTGCCACCTCTTCTCTTCCCCCAAGTTGGCACAATGCCAGACAGAGAGTATTTCACAGGACCCACAGTTTCTACAGGAGGAAAAGAGAAGCATAGGCAGACATACAGCTTCCCTAGCATGCTGAGATGCTTCCCAGGAGGCTCACTCAGTCTTACCTCATGGGGAATACTAGGGGAAATGGCACTGTTAGACTTCCCATGCCAGGTGGAAACAAAGAAAGAGACAGAGGTCAAGTAACCAGTGTGTGGATCTTGGTGGTAGCTGTGGGCCTCTGCCAGCTATGGTGCCTGATCACAGATACCAGCCAAACTCATAGCTCACTTGCAGAGCAGAGATGGTTGCTTCCAGAAGTACAGTGGGAGGTTCAAGCTAGCTTGAGTCCCTAGATTGCTAATTTCCAAACCCAGCTTCAGAGCCCACATCCATGACCCTGATCAGACAGGGATACACTCTCCACCCATTTTGGAGCAGTGTACTGACTAGATCTGCTTGATCCAGGAAGTCAAGCAGTTATTCCACCCAGCTAAAAAGCCCATTAAATGACCCTTCCCAGGCTGGGAGACTCTCAAGTCTGTGTATTTCAGAGAAACATGGGAGCTAGTCTGGCTTGGCCTGGAAAGTGAAATGGCAGCTCCTCTCAGCCAAAAACTTTGTCAAATTACATTGCCCAGGCATGGATACTTACCTCTGTGCATTTCAGAGAAACACAGAGGCTATATCTGCTTGATCCAGTAGGTCAAAGAGCCACTTAACTCAGCCAAAAGCCCAACCTTTAGCTTCACCCTGATAGAAAGCTGTCCTCAATTGTGCATTTTTTAGGAGCATAGCCTTTGGTCCCTCCCATCTGAGCAGTGACTTTACCTTGTAACTCAGCCTGCAGCCCTGCCCAACTACAGTTTCCAAATGCAAAATTGCCCATCCAAGAAATATATCCTGTGACCAACCTGGCCAGAAGCCATCAAAGTACCCAGGCTGCATCCCATCCTGAAAGCAGAGCCCAGCCAGTGGTCTCACAAGACAGCAAAGTCCAGACATAAGCCCCACCCAATATGCCTTGTAACTCAGCCTGCAGCCCTGCCCAACTACAGTTTCCAAATGCAAAATTGCCCATCCAAGAAATATACCCTGTGACCAACCTGGCCAGAAGCCATCAAAGTACCCAGGCTGCATCCCATCCTGATAGCAGAGCCCAGCCAGTGGTCTCACAAGACAGCAAAGTCCAGACATAAGCCCCACCCAATATTAGAGCAAAGGCAATGGCCCAGCCAACTAGAGATCTCACAAAAAGCTCTGCATACTCAGGGTTGTCACCAGTTGGCCCCTTTAGAATCGCCGGCTAGATTAAATGGTGAAGGTCTATCCCTGCTAAAGAACACCTATGAAGGCCAGAAGAGGGCTATTTGCTCAAATGTGTGGACAACAATGCAAGGACACAGTGATTACAAAGAATAAGGAAATCATGACATCTCCAAAAGAAACTAATAAAGCTCTAATAGTTAACTCAAAAAAAAAAAAATGGAGATCTATGAAATGACTGACAAAGCATTCAGAATCATATTCATAATGAAGTTCAATAAACTACATGGATATATGGATAAAAATTTTAATGAAATATGGAAACTAATACATGACCAAAGTGAGAAGTTTAGCAAGTAAATAGAAATAATAATAATGATAAAAAAACTCAGATAGAAATTTTAGAGATAAAGAATACAATGACTAAACTAAAAAATTCAGTAGAAAGCTTCAACAGGAGACTCATTCAAGCAGAAGAAAAAATCAGTGAGCTGGACATTTGAAATTATCCAATCAGAGGAGCAAAAAGACAAATGAATGAAAAAGAATAAAGAAATCCTATGGGAATTGTTGGACACCATCAAGATACCAAACCTTCCCATAACAGTAGTTGCAGAAGGAGAAGAAAGAGCAAAAGAGTGGCAAAGAATATTTCAAGAAATAATAACTGAAAACTTCCCTAATCTGAGATAGATGTCCACACCCATGTACAGGAAATGCAGAGGTCTGCAGTAAAATTCACCCCAAAGAAGCGTACACCAAGACACACAATAATCGAACTACCACAAATCAAAGACAAAGAGTAGTAATCAAATCAGCATGGTACTGGCAAAAAAAAAAAAGACACATTGACCAATAGATCACAATAGAGAGACTAGAAAGTAACTAGAAAGTAACCCACACAAGTATGGTCAATTGATTTTTGAGAAAGATGGCAAGAATGTGCAGTGGGAAAAGGATAGTGTCTTCAATGAATGGTGTTGGGAGAAACAGGATATCCACATGCAGAAGAATGAAATAGGACCCTTATCTCACACCATATACAAAAATAAACTCAAAATGAATTAAAGACTTAAATGTGAGATGAAATGTATGGATTGGGAGAAAATACTTGTAAACCAGACAGCTGATAAGGAGTTAATATCCAAAATAGATAAGGAGCTCCAACAGCTCAATAACAAGAAAACAAAAAAATCAATTAAAAAATGTGCAAGGAATTTGAATAGACATTTCTTGAAAGAAGACATACAAATGTTCAACAGATGTATGAGAAAATTTTGAACATCACTAATCATTAGGATAATACAAGTTGAAACCACAGTGAGATATCATCTCCCTCTTGTCAGAATGGTTAATATCAAAAAGACAAAAGATAACAAATGTTGGCAAGGATGTGGAGAAAAGGGAACCCTTGTACACTGTTGGTTGGAATGTAAATTAGTATAGCCACTATTGAAAACTGTATCCAGGTTCCTCAAAAAACTAAAAATAGAATTACCCTATTATCCAGCAATCTCACTTTTGGGTATTTACCCAAAAGATTTGAAATCAGCTTGTCAAAAATATGTCTACATTCCATGTTCATTGCAGCACTATTTATAATAGCCAAGTTGTGGAATGAAGGACTTTGCACCTCTCAGTATCCTAAAGGTTTTCAATGTATTATTTGAATGGAAATTGAGCCCATTGTTTTCCTATAGCAAGCCAGACTTTTACTGGAGAGTCTTTCTAGCTCCTGGTGAAGATGATAGAGGGGGACTGTAATCTAAATCAAAAGACAACTAATATGAAGGCCAAATGAAGAATAACAGGTTGTTGTTGATGTAGATCACAAATTAACTTCAGGGCTCAAAGAAGGATTGCATACTATGTACCAACACACACTTGCCCCATGTTCTTCTTGAGTAGTACCAACAGTTACTCACCCCAGTCTTCCTATTAATATTGTAGCATAGTTATAATGGAACGCCCTTGGAGCTATGACCATGTAGCTATGACCATGAGACTCAAGGAGGCTGGATGTGTTAGTGAGAGAGATTGTTTATGGGCTATAAGATCCAGTGTAGCTTCAGAGAGGTTGAATAGATCACATCTCACAACATGGTCTTTTACTTGACTGTACAAAGTCATCTGCAATGGATTTTGGTAAGTAGGAGGAAAAGTGAAAATTAAAAATAGCAATTATTAAGTGATATTCATTGTCATGTGTTTTAGATTTACGAGTTGTAAGGACAACACCTGAAAAAATTATAACAAAAGAAGACCTGGAGAAGAATATAGAGATAATACTCACAGAGACAGAAACACTGAGACTTTTTGACTTGCCAACAGTCATGGTCTCTGTAGAATCTGAGGAAGCTGGGAAAGTAACGTATGTATGATTCAGATATCTACATTGCTTCTGTACTTCAAATGCTAAATCAGGGGTTCTTATTTTTGTTTCTGTGCAGGGTCCTTGGGGATTCCTGTATACACACTGGGGTGTATGTGCCCTTCAAAATTATACGCAAAGTTATATAGGTGCCCTATGACATTATAGGCAAAGTGTTTATGTTACATATAAATTTTTCTAGAGGAAGAGCCCATAGCTTTACCATATTCTTTAATAACTATGTGAACTTCTGTTACAAATAATAAAAGAAATAAAAGAAGGTTCCCGTCACAATATAGTTTTTAATTATTTTTTCTTTGATACATATAAAATTTTTTTATATGTATAAAATAGAAAAAACTGACATTTGAAAACTTAAGAAGGGAAAATATATTATGGGAGATAAATGAATTTACTATGTTAGAGCACATTTTCTACTTTATTAATAAATATAAGTAGGTTATTAGTTTTTGCCTCATATATTTTGATGCTTTGTTATTAGGTGAATACACATTAAGGACTGTTATGTCTTCTTGGAGAATTGACTCCTTTATTATTTTGTAGTTCCCCTCTTTATTCCTGATAATTATTCCTGCTCTAAAGTCTTCTCTGTCTAAATTTAATACAGCTACTACAAATATATTATTAATATAGTTATACAGATTATTTTGCCTCAAATATCATTTGAATATGATTCATAGTAGTAAAAAATTTCATCACTATAATAAGTTTTAGGGTATTATCCCTACGCAAAATATAAAATATTATAAAATGGTTTGGACTATAAAATATAGTACAATTAGACCATGAATAACATATAGTCATGCACCACATAATTATGTTTAGGTCATTGATGGACCACATATATGATGGTGATATCTTAAGATTATAATGGCTATATCATGTAGCCTAGGTGTGTAGTAGACTAGACCATCAAGGTTTGTGTAAATACACTATATGATGTTAGTAAAACGATAAAATTGCCTAACATTGCATTTCTCAGAACATATCTCTGTTGTTAAACAATGTAGTCTGTGCTTTTAAAAGCTCATAAGAGGTAAGGGAAAACTCCTAAGGCCAAAAAAAAAAAAAGAAAGAAAGAAAGAAAAAAATGACAAAAAGATAGATAATTGATCTGAAATCAGAGACGAGAGATGCTGGGAACAAATGTTAATATTAGCACATGGATCTGGAGACCACTGGTATGTCTTGGGTCCCCCCATGCCCCTCCAAATTGAGAGAACTGAGAGATTCTTGTATTAAGCTAAGATCCTCATTAGGAGCTCAATTACCTCAAGTGGTCCTAGGTAGTAGTACTATCAGAACAAAACACAAATATTTGGAGGAAAGCATATACCCCATTTAGGCTCTTAAGATTCCCTCATGTTGAATTTGGTAAAAATACAACAAAGCAATAAAGAAAGAAGTCATTATGAATAAGAATAAACAGAAATAACAAACCGTAGATTGTGAGAACTATAATGATGTTTTCAGATATAGAATATAAAATATGTGTGAAATGTTTAAACAAATGAGGCAGAGTTTAAACATCATTAATATTAAAAAACTATAAAAATAATGAACTGCATCTGTAAAAATATCTACAAAGAACTTTAAAAATAAAGTATGCTTATATAATTTTTGAAAATAAAAAAAACCCCACTGATTTAAACATTATATTAGATGTAATTTATAGAGATTTAATGAATTAGAAAAGGGTTCTGGAAAAATTATACAAAATGAAGCTTGGAGAGAAAATCGGATATAAAGTATGAAAGAGAAGTTAAAATCAGTTTCAAAAGGGCGGAATAGAAAAATGGAGGAGGTGGTCTATTCAAAGAAAGTGGGTAATGATTTTTTCAAACTATTGAAAAATACCATTCCACAGAAATAGAGATAAATAAAAAGAAATCCACAAAAAGGAAATATACTCAGTGTGTTGTACTGGCATTCCAGAATACCAAATATAAAGACAAGATTTTTAAAATAGAAGAAAAAATATAGAAAAAAATAACCTACAGAGAAACAATTAAACTGACAGCATTATTAGGGATGAAGGTCACTTCATACTAATAGGAAGGTGTAATAATTCTAAACTTGAGTATTCCTAATAAAATAACCTCAAAATATATGAAGCAAAATTGGAAACTTGATCAGTATCCTATTAAAATAGGACATTTAAATACACCTCTGTAAATTATTGATATGTCAACTGGAGAACAAATTAATATAAATGTAGAAAATTTAAACAAAAACTTAATTTAATGGTCATATACAGACCTCTGCACTCAATAATTAGAAAACACATTCTCTTCAAGCAAATATGGAGTATTTATAAAAATCATTTATGCACAAGGCCATGAAGCAAGCCTGAAAATTTTCAAAGAAATGAAATCATACAAACTAAGTACTTTGACACAGTGCAATGAAGTTAAAAATTAATAACATAAATCTCAATTAAAATAGAAACATATTCACATACACATTTGGAAGTTAAAAAGCCCATTTCTAAATTCTGCATAGAGCAAAGAAGAAATCAGATGGAAATTTAAAAAATACTCAAAACTAAACAATTATGAAAATGATACATATTTATAAGGATGCCACAAAAGTAGTACTTTGCGGGAATTTCTAGCTTTAAGTATCTAACAAAGTTCAAAAACCCTATGTGGAGATAGTGCTAGCATATTACTAGTGGGTACTGAAAGGAGTGGGGATGTTGGGAGGTTGTAGTGGATTGAATTCTGTCCCCCCAAAACTCACTGAAGCTTGAATTGTGTCCCCAAGTTTCATATTAGAAACTTAATCTCCACTGTAACTGTTGAGGGTGGAAAATGCTATTATGGTAACTGAAAGGTGGTGCCTTGAAGAGGTGATTAGATTGTAGGACCATGCAGTAGTGAATGGATTAAAAATGGTGGTCATGGATGTGGTTAGGAGGGTTTTAAAAGGAGAGTGAATGAGTAAGTTGTCCTCTTGCTCTCTCTCTGCTCTCTGCTCCTACCATCTTGCAATATGAGACCCCTGGGTCACTGTTGCCACCATCAGATGGACTTTAGACTTCCCAGCCTCAGAAACTGTAAGCAATAAATTTTGTTTTCTTTACAAATCACCCAGTTTCAAGTATTTTGTTATAAGCAAAAGAAATGGATTAATACAGAGTAGAGTATAAAAGAGTCCTTCAGTGTAATATTTTCCTAAGAAATTTTTTAAGCTCTCATTTCACTTTTTGGTGCAATCCATATTAATGAAAGTAATTTTAAGGAAAGTGGATAATAGGTGTGGTAATAATTTTTATTAATTAGGTGGGTATACTTTATTTTTTATAGCCGGAGAAATAAGAATTATGAAAACCTTTGCAGAAATAGATTAGGCAATGACCTATATGTTGAAAGGATGATGCAGACTTTTAATGGAGCACCAAAGAATAAAGAAGTTCAATGTGATAAAATCACAATGGAAGAAAAAGGTAATTTGTTTTGTTCTTCTTGGCAAACTGCCATGTTTAATATATGTTTTGTTAAGTCTGTCAATTGACAAATGAATATTGAAATATATAAAGCAAAAACAGAAAGAATTTGGCTAAATCACAATAGTAGTTGGATACTCTGATTTACAGATTTCAGAATTTAACAGGTAAGTTAATAAGTAGTAAAGATATAGATTCGAATAATTGTCAATCTTGACTTGTATGCATACTATATCATAGAATTGTGTATTCTTGAAATGTTTATAAAACATTTATAGAAACTGATTTACTATGTCACAGAGAATATCAACCACAACTAATAACATTTTAAATGTGCCAGACACTATTTTAGGCCCTTCACAAATTTAACTGGTTAATTCTCACACAACCTTATGAAGTAGGTAATATTATTGTTCTCCATTTTAAAGATAAGAAAACAGGTAAAGAAAAGTTAGCTAATTGCTAACTCTGATTCTACAGCCTGTGCTGTTAACTACTACACTTACTAACTCTGAATGTTTACAAATTAACCACTCTGAGAACATTGCATAGACAAAAATCTGTGGGATGTGGCCAAAGAAGTAATTAGAAGAACGATTGTAATTTTAATTGCCTTTATTACTCAACAAAACTATGAGCTAGTACTTTTAAAAGGTTAAAATACATAAACCTCTAGCAAAAAAGTTTAAACATTGTTTTTAATAAAAGGACATATATACATCTTGTTGATGGGAGCATTTATTCCCTACTCACAATATTCTCTTTTATGTGGAAGAACATCTCCATTTCTTTCTACTCTCTCACTCATTCTTACCTAGAAGTGGAGGTGTGACTTAACCGATTGGTGAATTTGGGAGCTGGAACGTGGGTATCCATGATTATTCACCTGCTTTCCCTCTACTTGAGCCTTCTGGCAGCAGGAAGTACAAATTCCGATTGGCTCCTCATGCTATAAATTTTACAGGGGGAGGACTCAACATGGAGAGGTCTGTGGTTATCAAGTTATACTTGGTAAGTCTGTCTAATTCTGGGCTTCATGATTAAGAAAGGCTCATTGTTGCTGCATATCCAAACTGTGTCAACCAATCTAACCTTTATTAATAATAAAGATGAATTTTGATCTCTAACTGTTTTATTCCTTGTCAATTTCTTAATTGGTAGGAACTTAGATGGGCCCTGAAAAGTGAATACTTAGATGGTGTATTAGTCTGTGTTTGCGTTGCTATAACAGAATACCAGAGACTAGGTAATTTATGAAGAAAAAAGGTTTATTTGGCTCATGATTCTGGGAATCTGCACATGGCATGGGCCTCTGGATGCTTCTACTGATGGCAGAAGGTGGCAAGGCAGCTGGCCCGTGCAAGATCACATGGCAAAAGAACAAAGTGAGAAAGAGGGGAGGTGCCAGGCTCCTTTTAACAATCAGCTCTCATGGGAACTAATTGAGTGAGAACTCTCTCACTACCCTCACCCCAAGGGAGGGCA